GTCCTCTCTCTTTTTCACAGCAATCTGCTTTTCTTCTAGGGATAGAGAGGTCACTTGGAGAAGGGAACCTATTTACTTCTCTCTCCTCCATGATCCTAGAAAATTAACTTCTTGCTGGTAACAGTGGTCATTCAGATTGTTGCACCCAAGTTTGGTAGCCTAAATGTTTGTATGGGGGTTCATATTCATGCAGCCCTTGACCTGACAGTCAATGTAGAACTCTGGGACAAGAATATCATCTAAATCCAATGACTGAAATTTTACAATATGGGTCACATTCATAGGAAATTATCTTTGCATTAAAAGGTAAGATAACAGTCACCTTAAGCCATAAGTCTTGCATATCAGAAAGATAGCACCCTGTAAGACTTCTGCTTATGAAATTATAGACATTGAAGTCCAAGATTTAATTCAGAGCACACGGTATCTATTCCTGTACTTCTGAACAGTGGTTGTGGGCAGTTCATGGAGTGCTATTTCTCAAAACAGCTACACTGAGATACATTTATCAGGTTGTCTAAGCTTTCATGAGTAAGGAAATTAAATATGCAAATACAAGTGGATTACAGACACTGTGGACAATATCTCCAATTTTAATGTAAGGTTTACAAGAGTGCAAGGTAAATAATGACACCACATTGCTGGCCTTGCTTCAAAGGACCAAGACACAAATAAGAATTTAAGATGAAGAAAGTGAACTGATTTTTGTTAATTAACGCATAGAACAAAACAGCACAAAAAATTCATCTTTTAACACACACACACACACTCACATGGGTAAAAATACCTTATTCAGAGCTATGCTCAATTTTTAAAAACATGGTTGTTTATTAGAATGTATGAAAGTATCAGGACAGGCTTTATATCACTTCAGTAAGGGTTGGCTGATGTTATGAAGATACTTTAAGTGACTAGTGGAAAAATGGCTTATATAAATAACTGGTGATGGTGACCGTTAGATATCTGTTAGATATCTTGCATTTTTTATTGCTGTTTTCCTAGAAGCTGAAATATGTCATCAGCCAAATGACACTTCTTTTACTGTACATCAAAGATCAAAGAGGTACCTCCTCCATGTTATCCACATAAATCTAAATAATCATGCCAGTGATATTAGAACTACCTCAGAGACTTCCATACTAACCATGTGGGTTAAAAACTACATAGGGGCCAATGAACAATGCAACTCAGGAATGCAGAAAATAAAGATACAAATGTTGCAAAACCACTACTGCTTGTCATGGCTCTATACGTAATGTCTTTGTAAAAGAAACCTCCATATCCTCAGAAAAATCCCAAGCTACTATTAGGAATAGCCAATACTGAAATGAGTTTCTTCAAACAATATAGAGGTTCTGTGTATAGAAAGGCAGCTTATTTTATGACATTCCCCTACAAGTAGCTATGCAGTTAAGTATTCTTCTAAAGTTGTCTGTAGTCTTTAGTGGCTGTCTATATGGTTTGCTGTGGGTGCTCTATCTCTTTTTCAACCATTCTGACGACTTACGAGTGGTTAAGGTGCACTGCTAAAGTAATGCACTGCTAGTTAAGAGTGGCTTTCCTCCTTGTTAAACAATGCACTGCCCTTCTGTAGGATGAGGTACATAGTTTGGAGAAATTCTTGGACTCCACAATGTTACTAGATGCCTAAGGGACCTTGATGACATGAAGGACCTTTATCAACTGGCAAACACTATTCCAGTTGATTGTAATAACCTTGTAACAGTGATTCACTTTTTAGGAACTTATGTTTGTAGCATTAGTTACCCAAACTAGCATATATGTAGTATTAATCAGCAATGTTCATACTGTACACATATTATTATTATGTAGTATTAATCAGCAATGTTCATGCTGTACACAAAATTATTAAATTATGAGGAATTATACAGACTGTCTTTCTCATAAAACAATATGTACTTTTTCCTTCTCTGTGCACTCCTCTAAAACCATTGCCATATTTATCTTTGGCCTTAATTTATATGGCTTCCTAACTTTTGTTTCCCATGTTTTTTTTGTGATATATATCATGCCCTACATTTTCTCCTTTCACATGAAGAATACAAGTACAATTACAGTCATTTCTGCCATTTTGTCTTTTTTTGACTCCTGCTCTGAAGATGTTGCTAGTATCTACCAATAATTTCTACTTCAGTATCTTTGAACCAAAGCAGGATGTAAAAATATAACATATACTGTATCAGACAGGAAAAGCCTAAAATTTAATAATGACAAACACTCATATGGATGGATAACCTTGGGCACTTATTTAATTTTATTGAAATAGTGTTGAATTTATCAGAATCTGTCATATGTCCATCCCATCAAAATGAAAAGT